GGGCGTCACTCATCCAGTCTTACAACAAATAAGGTTTTATTTCGAATAAACTGACGAATGGAGATATGGGTTATCTCCATTGTTTGACTTGATCAGCAGAGCAACATATGCTTTCTATCCATTCATTATTTCCAGTATGCTGTAATTTAAGTGGCTCTCCAGATGGACTTGGTGGTATCCACCTGTTATAATCTGTTACCACTGATCAGAGCAGAACACACTGTGCTACTCTACACACCACCTGGCTCTTATTCCCAATTTGGAAATTTTGTCCCAGACCTTGTTACTCTATAACTTAATTATTGGTAATTTCAATTTCCGCCTGAAAAAGGCCTATGACCCTCTTAGTAAAGTCTTTCTGCACTTCTTGATACATTTTGCTCCTGTCACTGCAGTGACAAGCCCTGTTGATAATTGTACCAGTGACTTAAACACAGCACCTTCTAGTCTCCTGGTTTCATTTGCACCTCACAGAGGTCTGAACCATGGGTTTCAGGCTTAAATACATACATATAATACATACTTACAGCAGGGCATCAGAAAGCAAATGGCATTTAAATTAAAACTGGACGTTTTCCTCTCATGAAACAAGCGTTACAAGCGTGTTCTGTCTGCCTCCAAAGTAGCCTACCTCTCTCACTTAATCAGTAGTAATAAATACAAAAAACATCCATCTGTTAGCTGCTCAACCTTTATGGCTTCTTTTCTGCAGAAAAATAGATAATCTCATCTCCAGCTACTTCTGTAAAATCAGCACTACAATATTGAATCCCAAAGAGTGTCTGTTATGAAACATTCACCAAACTGGTGTTAGCTTCTAAATCAACTAAACTTTTCAAAGATTTTTGGCCATTTCTGAGACCAACGATGTTGAATATATGACTAGAATTGTCCCCATTCACTTTATGACTGCTGCGGTTGAACCTCTATTTAAGGAGCCACTTTGTGCAACTTTCAGCCCCCATACTTGAGAGTAATCCTTCTGAACCTCACTCCACTGAAACTGCACTTACTAAAGTAGTGGATGATCTGTTTACTAGCGTTCAGATTCTACCTCAGTGATTCCATTCATTCTTTAAATTCAGTTCAGCTTTTGATACGACATCATTGACTGGAAAATCTATTTGGCATCCCTGGCTCTTGCATGGTTAAAGTCTTACCTATCTGAAAAAACACAGTTTCGTATAATAATACTACATCAAAATTTTATCATGTGAAATACGGAGTACCTCAGGGCTCTGTTCCTGGCCCTCTGCTTTTCTCTCTTTATATTTCACCCCTTGGCCAAATCATATGCAGTCATGGACTTAATTTCCACTGTTACGCTGATGATACTGAGTCTAGATGATTATCATTATTAAATAAGAGGCATGCTTGTCTGCGGTAAAATCCTGGATATCTCACAATTTTCTGTTCTTACATTCTGATAAAACTGAAATGCTGGTCATTGGGCCTGATTTACATAGATGATTTACAGTGACTCTTGACAACTGTGTTATTTCTCAAAGTTTTGACAGCCAAGAATCTTGGTCTTACCTTTTCTTTTGATCAACGCATTAAAGAAACTATCACTTCTGTCTTTTTTCACCAAGGCAACATAGCTAAAATTTGTTTTTTTTCTGTCCATGGCTCATTCAGAGACCCTAATTCATGCCTCTGTTTAAATGCTGCACCACCAGTTTTAGCTTCCTTACACTGGCTCCCTTTCCTTTCCTGTCAGATCAAACTTTCAGGTTCTTCTGATGACTTATGAAATTGTAAACAGGCATGTCCCTTCATATCTCTCTGGTATCCTTAAACCTTATATTCCATCCTGTGATCTCTGCTCTCAGAATATCAGGCTCCTGAAATAATCTCCCTGCTGACATCAGTCTGACTCTGCCAAGACTTTTAAATTCAAACTTAGAACTCATCTTTTTACTGTGACTTTGATGCTTCATTTTTATTACTTCGTACCCGTTACCATTATCAGTCTGTCGGGTCTCTCTCAATTTTCAGTTTTCTATTTAATTGTCTTTATTGGCATGATGTTTTAAATCAAACATGTTGGCAAAGCGAATATGAATACTGTAGTATACAAAGATACAAATACTATGAATATATTGAAATTAAAGAAAAGAGAAGAGAAAAAACAATACAAAACAAAAAATCAAAACAAAACAGAACAGAAACAAACAAAACAACCTTACATTAAAATCAGTCTTGCTGTGTGACATGCAGTAACATATTCTCCTGCCAGTTCTAATGTCGTGTTGTCTTCTCCCAAAGGGTTTGAATCAGGCACTCCTTTGGGAGGGTAACAAAGTCTGGGTTTTCTTCTTTTAGTTGAATTTGAGGAAGAAGTTTTCTCTAATTTCTTCGTATTTTCGACAACTTGTGAGAAAATGAATTTCAGTTTTAACTTCTCCTGTTTTTCAATGGGTACAAATTCCTTTTGTTCTTTCCAGCCATTCTTCTTTAGCCCAGTTTCAATTGCAAGTGTGGTCACTGAGTCTATATCTGGTTAGGGTTTGTCTTTTTTCCTGTGTTTGAAATATCTTAGTTTATTGTCTTTATTGTATTGAGTAGAGGATTATTTCCACAGCATAACTGTGGCAAATGAATATAAAGTCCTCATGTGGTTCATACCATGTATTTCTCTCTTGGCTCAGATACTAATGAACACTAATAAACTCTTTTAGTGTCCCCTCCTTGTCCTCTCTTTCCACTCTAGACCATCGGCCTGGACCTGTTTCAATGTTTCAACCCTCTCCTGCCTGTCGGTGCCTCATTCCATATGTTTTGGATCTGGATCTTTGTCCTTCCCTCTTGTCTCTCTCTCCTTTGTGTGTATGTTGTCTTTAACTGTCTCTCTCTTTCTCTCTGTGTGTTTGTGTAATGCGCTTGAGTGTTTGCCTATTGTGTGTTTGTGTAGTCTGTCCTCTTCCTGGTCTCCAAGGTGGAAAGGAGATTGTGTGGCCCAAGTCTGTTTGGCGACACCTGAAGTATCTCAACGTCCTCCTGGATCCATATTCTTCATATGTTTACAATCTATCTATAATTTTGTCATCCTGAGTGTCCATACTGTAATGTGTTATGTTACATGGCAGCTTTCATTAGACCTTTCAAACCACATACCTCCAGCTTCTAACACAGGATTTCTCTTAAAAACTTTGTGTTTATAAACTATTTTTTGATTGGGATAATATATTGTGTCATCTGTTTTACGATTGTATTTATCAGTTTTATATCCACTGCATTTCTGTTTTTATATTACTTGTTATGATATATTTATTGCTGTAATTTTATCATTTTTAGGCCTCTGTTATAGGTTTTGCAACCTCAATGTTTTATACTCTATGTGGTGGACCAGATCTCAGTGGGGCCCTTTCCTTGTTGAATAAAGATATATAATATTAGCATTTATTCTTTTGTCCAAAGTTACTCAAAATAAATGCATTTAAATCTTCATGTAATATGTAATATGTACATTACTGGTCACTGTAATTATTGATTCTGGCCATACCGGTTGAGAAATCCCTTCTGGTTGCAGCTTTACTGCAACATGCAGTACTCATTTTGTGAAAAAATCTATTTTTAAGTTAAAACAGTAGTTTCAAACAAATGATGTGTACGAATTTCCCTCTTTGGGTTACTATCCCTCCACTGCAGCTCAGGAAAGAAACAATGTCTTGAACCACAGGCTTCAGTCGATACCCACTTGATAGCTCAGACTGCTGAAGCCTCATATTCAGCTAAAAATTAAATTTTATTTTTTAAGTGCTCCATTACTTCACGTAGCTCTTCACATCTTTAATGCACATATGGACACGTGAGTGTTGTTTTAAGATGGAAAAAAGTGTTAACTTAATTTAAAGGACCAAAACTGTGTTTGTATGTGAGTTGTGAAAGAAATCATCTGATTGTGTTTGTAGCTCCAGGTTGGGTTGGAACAACAAGGGGTTTTAAAAGGACTCCCTACTCTTAGCTGCCTTCCCACAAAAGAATAATATCATGTTGAATAATTTTTTTTTCATATTAAAGTCAATAAAGCAAATAAATCAAACCCGAAAATATTCTTCAGAACAAGTTTACCTTCTGACACAATAAACAAAAGTAATAACACTTTGTAAGATGTCTCATGTACTACAGATACCTGCAAAATGCATTATAGGCCGAGAGTTGCTATAAGCGTTCATTATGCTTCATGATATCTTATAACAAAGTCAAATGCCGTTGTAAGTTTACAAATAATACAAAAGTCTAGTATTAAAATGGGTCATTGTTATTCTGCCTATGTTCAATGAAATGTTCACAATGGATGGAGATTGTAGTGGCAGTTCACAGCACATGTTATGCTTCATGGATAATTATTTTGTTGTTAGAGAGTAAACCCACTACCTACTTGATTAAATGCATGATTAATCTGTCTATTCACAGATAGAGGCTTTTGAATATGAGACATATCCTGTAAAGTCTAGAGGGAGGAGGACATTAAGGTTCTGTTTTTTAAAAAGGGTTTGTGGAAAAACAAGCTGCAATAAGAAACATCTACACTGTATGCTACATATATGCTAGGATAAATAATGATAAACACATGGGAAAGTCATTTAGTAAGATATCAAATAAAAACAAAAAAGAATGTGTTATTATACTGTGAAGTAGTCTGTAGTTTGTGTATAAACTTATAACCCTGCTTTTGACAAATTTCCTGAGAAACAAGTGTTTTGTCATTGTAATTCCCAACTGCAGTCATCTCAGAGTGAGTCCCATCACACAACCAGCAAAACTTCTTCCCACCACTTTGGCGGCAACTTAAGAGGCGCCTCACATCAGCCACAATGGAGCAGCTGCTCATCTGCATCAATAGGCTCAGGCTGACCTGTGGCTTTATGCGTTTGCGCGCCTTTTTCCCCCCTTTCATAACACTGAGATTCCTCCCGTTAAGCCGTCTGGGTTTAATGATAAACTTGAGATCCTTAGACCACCATAAAAATCAAAGATCAAACAACACAACCATATTCGTTAAGAGAACATTTATTGGAAAACTTTTGTCAATGAAAAAACATTTGAAGTGTCACAAAACATGTTGGTTTTTTTTCTTACACAAAGTCAATGAATAATAATCCTATTTAACACACAGTGTTTACAGACTATTCTTTTGCACAGACCAAAATACTTTTAAGTCCATCGTGCAAACCTCAAACTAAATAACCCTTGGGGTTTTACAAAAGTGTTGTCTACAACCCATATCTTTGAAACCCCAAAGAGGATTGCATTTAAAAACGTTCATAGACTTCAGTTTCTTTGAGATCTGTGCTCGTGTGCTCTCTGGCATTAAACGCAAAATGAGCCAAATGCTGGATTCAATTATTATACAGCAACTCCAACAATTCTTAACCACTAAGACTGTGGTTATTGGAATACAAATGGCATAAATAACATCACAAAATAAATAACACGCATGTGAGAAATGTTCAACTAGTCTACCAGGGTCTCCACATGGCAGCACTGACAGCCTGCGGGCCTGGCTGCGCCCGGCTGGGAGCCACTGCGCTGCTGCGAGACTGACTCTCCAGTCTGGAGCTGAAGCTGGATTTGAGGCTCAGGAGTCTCTGTTGGATCTGAGGGAGAGACCTGGAGCTCTGAGCGCAGCAGTTCAGGCAGGTTGGGGTGACGGTGGCGGATGCCGACTGCTGGACGAAGTCGTTCACCCGCTGGCACGCGTCTTGATCCAGGCTCGTTTTGGGAAGCAGAGCGGAGACGCGCTGGAGGCAAGCTTTGTAGCCTTCTCTGTAAGTGTCTGCGGAGTCTGGAGGAAGAAGAGATTTGATCAGTGGCTTGAATTTGACTATTAGCCAACAATCTAAAATAAGTAAGTTTGTATGCAGTTTATATTGTAGTTCTAGGGCTGATGCTCACCTTTGACAGGAGAGGAAGGAAGGTCTCGGAGGAAACGGACGGTCATTTCCAGAATATCAGCTTTCTCCAGTTTGGAGTAGCGTGCGTTGTCTTTGCCAACCAGAGGAAGAATCAGGCTTTTCAAATGACTGAGACTGTCGTTGATACGAGCGCGTCTTCTCTTCTCCAGTAAGGGTTTAAGAGTCTAGAAGAAATGAGGAAACCCCGTTATTCAGCTGCACTTTTAAAGAATCAAATCAAACACACAAAAAAACATTTCCAGTAACAGCCATGAAGTTTCTGTCTTTCTCTTACCTTTCTCAGTTCGTTGGCTTGTTTTCTCTGGGCCACAGTGGACCTGGCAGTGATAGGCTGGTTGGCCTCGGTGGTGATGCTGGGACTCATTTCGTTTGCTGCTTGTTGTGCTTTTTAAGAGATACTTGCTCTTGGAGCGGCTGAGCTCGAGTGTGCCGCAGAGCTGGAGAGCCTCCTATTTATGTGGGTCCGGCGCGTCAGAGGGGAGGGAACACAAGCCATCGCGCTGGGAGTTTGACACGGGGGGGGCGATGCCTTAGGGAGATGAGCGGAGCTCCTGTCTGGACCATCTGGTCCCATCAGGCCCCTGCATCTACCGCTGGTATGCGGAGATTCGTGATGATGTTGCGCTTTATTGCGTTTAAAATGTAAAGCTTTAACGTTCTGCCAGGATCGAATTACGCATGCAAGACATATAACGGCGTGTTTCACATTGTATAAGCTATATAAGACAGCTGCTCTTTTGTACTTTTCTACAGTAAGGCTTGCTTCTTTTTTTCCTCCCGTTTTTGTTATTAAATTATTAATCTTTCTGTTTATTATCCTATTTATTTTGCATCACAAATGACCCACAAATGTGCAGCCAAGTACCCATTTAGTTTGATCAGATATATGAAAGTGGCACAGTTATGAATGAACAATTAAAAAGTTTGATGAAATTAAACAAAGAACATAAATTTGGTCCTTTTATTTATGCTTATGGGCTCGACTTGCCTACCCGCCACAACAAAGGCAACACAGAAAGATGAGTGATTCCGAGGTGACAGGACTAATCTATTTCTACAATTAATAAACCAGAGACCCAAGCCACGCTATGTATGGATTAACATCTGCTTGTGGAGCCTCAGCAGCTTGTTTCCAATATCAACAACATGGTGTTTACCTGGAACAGTGGAGGAGGAGACTCAGGGACGTGACAACATCCAACACAACGTGAGAGGTGCGTCTGCAGATCATGAACATAGTACGAATATATTCCATAAGAGCCAGGCAATACACACGTCTGCTCTCACAGTGCAAGGACATCACGGTGAAGAATAGGCCTGTGATATAGTAAAAGACTGAAGCTCTTTTAAAGACTTCTAAAACTTTTATAAACACAATATTAAATATAACATTGTAGATACTTTCAACTTAAAATGAACTTATTTTATTTCAACATCTACAAACAGTTGCAGTCAGTCTGCTGCTGACCATTAAACCAAACACAGTGCAGAGACCTGCCAGTGGGATTCACGCGTTCGGCACGCGCCATCACTGCGCAACAGATGGGAAGCCCCCCTTTCCTCTCATCTTCCGTCCCTACTCCCCCTCCCCCTCATCCTCTGTCTCCCACGGGTGCACCACTCTGCTGCTGCTCCCATCAGCATCCCGGCTCCTGCTCCAGTTCTTGTGCTCCCTCACCATCAATGTGCTTTAACCACGTTTTTTTTGGAGGGAGGGAGGCTTGGGTCACAGCACACAGACACAATAGATATATAGCGTTATATAGCAACACTATGGTAATACGAATCAAACGAAGTAAAACCAACATTACACAACCATATATGGAAGTCCTAAAACGATAGGTTCACTGGAAATGCATCAAATAATATATTTATTTCTCGTTTATATCTCAAATTATGATGCAGTAAAATGTCCTATATCAGACATAATCGTTTCGTGCTGAATATAATTGAGGAACACATTGCATATATTGAAAATGCCAGCTTTACGCAGAAAATACCAGCATTACGCACGGAATTGTTTACTAAAGCATTCCCAGCCTTAAGACTGAAAGGGAATAATAAAGAGCGGGAACATGGTCAAAACGTATCAATTTAACTGAAGTTTATTTATTTACATTTGGAAACATATGTAGTTCAACAAGCTAATATCATTTTGGAAAAGTTAACACTGCTCACGGCTGCAAGCTGTCCTGCTGTAGCTTGAGGGTTTCAAGACTTCTTTTTTTCAAGCATTATAGATGCGTGGTTTTGCACGCGTCCTGCCCCATGGGGCCCCAAATAACTGCCATCAAGTCCAGTCTGGGAACGGGTCCTTCGAGATAACACTAAAAAAAAAAAAAAAAGTCCAAGAGAGGGTCGGTTGGGACCCTTTTTGTCCTGGTTTCAGCGTGGGTATCCATCTGTGCAAGCTGAGAGCACAGTGATCCTTTGTTGAAGGATGTACAGAAAAGTGTGTTCACAAAGAATTTTCCAGAAATTCTATGGGAAAGGGATATGATAAGCTTCTTTGTTTACTTCCAGTTCAGTCGAGTTAAACCATACTGAACTCAGTGTCTGACTATTTCTGTCTTTATTTAGTCAGATAAAGTAAAAACTGTAAACATGTTTCATGAAATGTTTTATTACATGCTGTTAAAAGTACATAATAACCAACAGTTTTGAGGAAGATTATAATCTGGAGCAAAAGATGAAAAAGTATCTTGTAAATTCCCAGAAAACGTCTTAAATCTTACTCCCTGAGTTTGAGAATACAACCCTGAAGAGGGAGAATTTGATCGTATAAACGGCATGAGACTGACACGAGCCAAAGCGTTCAGCCAGATGGAGGCGGCGCAGGTTTATTGATGCGTGAAACCAAAAGCGTCGACGGACTCTCTGCCTTGCTGAAGGTGATCGTCTCCATCACAATTACGTGGAGGTTTTCCAGACTTCTAGGTTGCCCAGCCTTCAAATCGTGACTGCAGCTGAAAGGATGTCTGGCATCCCAAGCCAAAATATACGCCAGCATTATTAACACTGAAGCATCTGTACACGACTGCTGGCTGGTGTTTGAGTAAAGCATTGAGACAAACATGTCGAGTCGGATTTTGTTCCCAGTTTGTGATTAAATACTTAAAATACATTAAATGTTTTACCTTGTTTTGTATCTTATAATATAATAACATCATTGCTGTAGTTATCCGGAGATGGTAAAAGCAGTAGTTAGAAAATGTATATTTTCAAAATGGTTTCCACAATGTTTAAATTGTGCGATGTTTGACTATCACTTCTGTTTTATTGTAAATAACAAGGATGAAGGACATTTAAAACAACTTATTTCACAGAGAAGATTCCCCTTTTATTTTTCAACCAGGATTTACATCTGACAAAACATCTAATGAAATGCTGCAGTGACATAATTGATTTACTGAGTTTACTGAAACAAACTTGATATGTCTGCATCACTTCCTCTGTTCATTCATTTACTAATTAAAGAAAGCTAATTAATACAATGTGAGAAGGTAGACCGTATTTACACATATTATGATGGACATTGCAAGAGCTTAAATTACACTACATTGTGGCTCTATGGGTCAATATATTAGATTTAGCTATTTTGCTTCTGTGAGTGTCTGAGGGTCAACTAATGGATGATTTAGAAATACACTGAAGAGCAGAATATAGGATAGAAAAATATTTTGATGTTTGAGAGCCAGTTTTACATTATAATGCCAAAATATATATATAAAAGCAACATGTTCAGTATTACAGACATTTGAGTTGAGCAAGGTAAACAGCTTGTAGAAATGCAGAGCTTTTGAATAAATCATGAGGAGTTTAAATGTCAGAATTCCCCAAATCATCAAGTCTAAAGTGTGCAGACACTCTATGGTGTTAGTTTGCTGTGTCTTATGGTAAGTCTTAAGTCACCGACATATGACAGAGTTATGGGTAGACCAAGCTGTCAGAGACAAGGTCACAGTGAATAGTTGTGTCATTAGCCTGATTTTGTTCTACCAAAAGTTAGATATAAAGATTTTAAGTGATAAAAGATTATAATAATGGAAAAGAGAAGAATCAAGCAACAAATAAACCACTGAGAGTAAGGAGACAAAGAAACAACTTTCAGCAAGATCTGTGGAAAATGATCAAGAAAAAAAGAAATGATTGAGCCTTCTTGACTTTTCCATATACCGACGCACTGTATTGATCCGACACAGGATATGATGTACCCACACAAGTAAAGACTAACTGATTTCAGAAGGAAAAAGTACTGCAACGATTTGGAGCCTTTTATAGTGCAAGCAGACTAATATTTTGATAGTACTGCGTCAACAACACAACAATTCAACATTTCAACATGTTTTTCTCCTTCTGAAGTTTGCTGTCCTTGTTCTAAGAAGCACCTGACTCAGCTGCACATTGGTGGAAAATGTCCAGAGAACCTCTTTTCACTCACTGCTGGTGACACTGGCTGATCTTTTCTGAAAAGGTTTTCTGAAAGGTTTTGGCACCAATGAGGTCATCACTCGTTCACTGGTTTGGTTGTAGATTTTCTTACACACAAAATAAACAAACAGCTAAATTCAGACTGCTGACATAATGGTTTTCTCACATTACCCTTTGCTTTAAGTGGCTAAAAACACTACAGATTTCTTTTAGCAGGAAATCTGTTGAACTGCCTGCAGTATAAATGTCTGTGTTGCTGCTCGGACAGGGAATTCTTAATTTGATGGATTGTATTTCCACCAGAAAAGTGATCTTAACTGACTGCTCCAGCTCCGATATCAACAGCCTACAGACTCAACTGTGTAATTAAGACAACAGCTTTCTACTCGCTCTTTCTACTGGTATTTCTACTTTATAACCGGGACTTCACATGCTTCCAGCTCAAAGCACAGTGTACAACTACTATAAAACCATTTCCAGGATTATTGTGTAGCAGTTATGCACAGGTTGAGGTGAGAATTAAACTAAATAACCGTTTCCCTTAAGAATCTGTATCTAAGGGCATGAATTTTTTGGTGAATCAGTGAGTTTTTTTCGTTTTCTCAGTATAATGAAAGCCACAAGATGAGGCGGAAAGCTCCAAAAACAGGTAGTAAGTGGACCTTGAATTAAGATGTTTTTTGTCAAACTGTTTCTTAGGTCACATTTAACACTAATGGCCTCACAAACTTGATCGCTGGTCTTGTTTCCTGTTGACCATGATATAAGTGATGTCCTCTTTAAGGCATAGAGCAGGTACCAAAACTGAAAAGGCTCCCTGGGAAAACCAAGAGAAAAGAAAACTTCATGAACAACAGAAGGGGGGTGCGATTTTAGGATCTTCCTGAGATAATAAGGGCATACACTCCTTTCTGTGGCTACTTCGTAAAGGCTTCAACCGTGGCTTTGCAGCTCTGATCAAGAGGAGTCAGGTGTGGGT